AAAATGTAATGTTCATTTTTCTAGAACTCTCAAACCTCTCTATAATCTCTTTGAACTTATAAACACCAAACTTTATATCAATTTATTATTTTTGTCTCATGTCTTTCTCACTAATTTTTCTTGTTTTTGCAGGTTTTTCATCACATGGTTCTCATATCCCACTCATTTAAAGATATATTTATCTAATGTTTCACTTATTTTTTATGTTTTCTTCATTTGGTAATTTTTTGACTTGAAAACACCAAAATTTATATGAATTTTTCAGTTTTGTCTCATGTTTTTCTCACTAATCTATCTTTTTCTTGCAGGTTTTTAATCATATGGATCTTCATTTTGATATGTATGTTGTGTGTTCTATAAAAGTATATAATTATATATATCTAATCTTCCACTCATTTTATGTGTGTTTTAAGCCATTTGAATGTTTTTTGATATGCAGATTTTTCAGATCTGGGCTTGATATGCAGGTTTTTCAGATCTTGAAGACTTCTGGGACGACTTACCTGTTAGTCGTCTGGACGACTTACCTGTTAGTCGTCTAGACGACTTACCTGTTAGTCGTCAGGACGACTTACCTGTTAGTCGTCAGGACGACTTACCTGTTAGTCGTCAGGACGACTTACCTGTTAGTCGTCTGGACGACTTACCTGTTAGTCGTCTTGGATGACTTACTTGTTAGTCGTCTGGAAGTTGTCTGAACTTCCTGGAAGTTGTCCGGACTTCCTGGAAGTTGTCCGGACTTCCTGTAAGTCGTCCGGACTTCCTGTAAGTCGTCTGGACTTCCTGTAAGTCGTCTGAAAGTTGTCTGGACTTCTTGAAAGTTTTCTGAAGCTGTCTTGTTTCATATCAAGTGGAATCCAAACTTATCTTTGTAGATGAATGATCTATTATAGTTTAGTTTGTGGTATGTTTTGTGATTTGCATGTATACTCTTTTAATTGTGATTTTTTTTGTAAAATCAGTAATATTGTTTCCCAAGATGTAATATATGTGATAACAATGTGTTTACACATTTACAAATCAATGAAATAATAGACTTCAACATCAAACCCTTCTTCCAACAAATCATCATTGGTGTTAAAGCATATTACATGTTTTACAAGTTTGTGTTGAAAAACTTAGTCAAATTTAGTAATGTATGACTNCAAATCATCATTGGTGTTAAAGCATATTACATGTTTTACAAGTTTGTGTTGAAAAACTTAGTCAAATTTAGTAATGTATGACTTGTGTTTCGGATAATGTAATGTAATGCATGACTTGTCTTTTCAAATTTTTATTTAACCCGAGAGACGACTAACCATAAGGTCGTCTGGACGACTGAAATTAAGGTCGTCTGGACGACTGAAATTAAGGTCGTCTGGACGACTGAAATTTAGGTCGTCTGGACGAATGAAATGAAGGTCGTCTGGACGAATGAAATGAAGGTCGTCTAAAGAGAAGTACATAATACATAAATAACATCCTCTCTCCTTTGAAACAAGATCATCATGTGACGAATCTTCACTCAAAAATAACATCCTCGCTCCTTTGAAACAAGATCAGCATGTGTCAAACCTTCACTCAAAATAACATCCTCGCTCATTTGAAACGATCAACCACAAAATTTCAACAACCATTCTCCATACACTGCACGTAACTGATGCGGCATCTGAAATAGAAAAAATAAAACACATTAGCAAACATAAAACCAAGAAAACAAAAGTTTATTAAAAATAGAAGCAGACGACTGAAATCTAAGTCATCCAGACGACTAAACATTCAGTCGTCTGGTCAACGCAGAGGTTAGTTTTGCAATTGACTTTGAAATCTGTTAATTGGGACGACTGAAATATCAGTCGTCTGGATTAGCTTGATAAAAAAAAATCTCCAGAAAACACAGACGACTGAAATTTCAGTCGTCGTAGGTTAGTTTTGTATTTGACTAGAAAATTTCAGAAGTTTGACTTTTCAGGACGACTTACATTTCAGTCGTCTGAAGAAAAATGAAATATTAATATTTTATTGAAATTCGACGACTTACATTTCAGTCGTCGTAGGTTAGTTTTGCAATTGCGAAAAAAACTTCAATATTTAATCATATCCAGACGACTGAAATTTCAGTCGTCTGCTGGACGACTGAACTTTCAGTCGTCTAAGATTTACAAGGTTTGACCAGAATCTC